GATTGGTGGTTCTTCTGAAATAACCTAGGATGATGTTTTTTTTTTGTGTCTAGCTCGTCGTTGCCCTAGCAATCGCAAAAATGTAAGGAAGTTTCCGATTTTATAGGCATTGTTTACATTTTGAATTCTTATCAACACAAATATGACACAAAACCAAAAAAGTTTTATACACAAAAGTAGAAGTATCACAAGATAATGGCCAGAAACAAAAGATTGAGTAAGCGAAGAACAATGGCTGGGTAACAACCAAAGGGACCCCAAAGAACTCTCATTGGAACCTTCCAAAGACATCCTCAACTTGAGGAAGAAACATCAGCGGCTAATCCTGAACCACAGCACCAAGTTCAAGCGAATTGAGGTACGGCACAGTAAGAAGACCCATTACTTATTGAAACAGACTAACTCACCTGCTATGAGAACAAGACACAGAGCCAAGAAACCTCCAAGTTTTATCACAGAACACCCATGTAGAGATCACAGACTTACCACAACAAACGCCATTATCTGAATCTGAACCTGAGCTTGATAATGGTACTATGGCTGATAGACGAAGAGGTAGATGAAGAACTACGGCAGATGTTGCAGAAAGAGTGTTAGAAGAAATTAAACGAGATGGTGCTTTTGATTATGATCCCAACTTTCAATACATCATTAAGGATAACACCAACGGTTTTAATGAGAATGATAATCCAGTTTATGAACAACAACAACAACAACAACAACAGCGGAGACCACAAAGACCACAAAGACCACAAAGACCACCGAACTCAGTATGTAATCTAGGCTGCCTTGAAAAGTGTTGCGATTATTCTCATGCTTTCCTTATCGATACAGAATCACCATCTTTTTGTTGTGACAGGAGGCAGAATTCTACTCGGTGACTTATTCAAAAAACCTCTACAGTACCTGAAAGATGTCTTATTTGATCTAAACACGTCCAAATATTCTCGAACAACCAATCCTGGTGATTTGTGAGGTGGAACTTATTCAATGACCATCAACGGCCGTTTATTCGATAGAATTGATGGTTTGATAGCTCAGGAAAATGGAAAAGAGAAGTTGGCTGAAACTCATACATTAGATCCAACATTAGCCACAAATCTTCATCTTGAATTGATTAAAAGTTTTTTTCAAGATGATGAAGAGGATAATAAACATGAGGCCTGCATTAGGAAAATTGGTGAGTTTCTCTCTCAAAACGATCGTTATGCACAGCTGTTAAATACCACTGGAGAAATTGTTCAAGAGGAAATTACAGAGATGGGATAAATCAGAGGAGAAATTATCGTTCAATTTACGATCATTGAACTAACGGCACCAAAAAGTCGAGAACTTTAAAGAGTTTACCTTGGTGAGCAGAAGCAATAACCGCAGAACGTACTTAACTTTCAGTGTAAAGGGGAGATCTACAGGCGGCCTCACTTTTATCAATATGTGTAAGAGTGTTTTTTTATCTTTGAGTTGACCTCTTTTAATAAATAAAGGGCGATACAATTTTTTTCATACTAACGGTACTCAAATTAGTATCATTCTAACATATCCACACCATATACACTCTTGTGAATACTTCTACGAAATCTTACCCTACAGTTTTAGAAGACTCTCTAGCCGTTGATTTCGTCAGTTTCAAATGTCCATACTATTAAACGAGGGACCAAGGAATTAAAGACAACACCCGACGGGCCGTGCAGTGCAAGTCGATCGCAAAAGTCCAAATCGCGTTCACCGGGTCTAACCACTACAGGTCAACTTGTACAATAAACTACTTGAAGTACACCTAAGTGGACTTTCTTTCGTTTCATATATATATACCTCGGACAATGCTCTACCATGGTTATTCACTCCATCAAAGATTTTTTTGTTAAAATGTTTGATAGCAGGCCCTCTCTTCCTAGGAGTCCAATCACCAAACGCTCTATTATATTCTCACATAAAATGGAATTTTCGTACGAGGAAAAAAAAAATCAATTCCCACTTTTTCAAAACAAAAAAAGATCAATTTCAAACAATTTGGGAAATTTTTACTTGATTTTAACTCGATACCTTGCATAAGTTTTCTCGAGAAATATATAAAAAATAAATCTCAAATTCGATACTTTTAGTCACATACGCCTGGGTCACTTTCCATATGTTTACTCAATGTGATGTCTGTCAGAGTGTGCATATGTGTTTTATTCAAATTGAGACAACAACTTTACTAAGAATTGGTATTACATATATGCTGAAAGAAAAAGCAAAAACAATTCCCAAAAACCAAAGAAAAAAAAGGAAGACAAGAAAATGAAATACATATATCTAAAAGAATACAAAACAGCAAATAGGTTTAAGGGCTTTTTAAATGCATATTTTCGAGCAACTGCATTTTTATGAAAAGATTTATACAAACATTACGATACAACGATCTTCTACCACATGAAATTTTGAAAAATCTATTCCAGTCACAATATTCGGACCATGTAAAATATAGGCTTAATCATTCTGAGATATAATTTCATTTCTAACCAATGCTCTGAGTTTAATCATTAATCACAAATATGAGTGTCTGAATGTCTCAATGTTTTAGATTCCGAGCTGATATGCATTTATATTCTTTTTAATTAAGATTTAAGAGCAAAGTTCCACGCTTTGCTTAATATTCTAGTCCTGAATTCTTTCCGTATACTTGCCTTTCCTGTGCTTTCTAATATTTCTTAACTTCAGTAATGCCAGGTTTTAACGGATTAATTTTTCGTGTAGATTTATACCGAAAAGAAATATGGCTAGTTGTATACTGCGTTTTTATTCAAGATCACCAAATCATGATATGAGGGGTTTTTAGGCGTAATATCATCGCGCATTTTTCTAAGACAGGTATATGATGTAAAGAATTTGAACCAATTTAAGAGAATGTATCGAGATCCACAATACAGCAAATATTAAAATTTATACTACATTACCAGCAGATAGGTGATCGTTTTAGATTTGGTTTGTTTGTAATTTACAAATCGCCCTTACTCATTGGAGGAGTTGTGTCTTTTTACTGATAATACCTCAAGCCTTTCACATTAATGATTTCACAAATGTTTTTGGAGATACATGTAGTCTACAAATATTTAAACTGTCACATATTTTCTAATTTGTCGAATCGGGTACTTTAAATCTTTTAAATCGGTTAGATAGTGACATGTCAAGATACGGAACTAAGTATATGTTATATGATAGTTTCGATATATTTTTGAAAATACATCCTTTGGAGCTGTAATTCTTAAGTCGACAAACTTCTTTGTGAATTTTTGTGAGAACACATTTGTTTTGATTTCAGTACAAATCTGGTATATTTGATTGTGTTTTTTGATCTTGATTCCTTCTGAAATGTGTCTGTTTCAAATGCAATAATATCATGTATGTAGTAGTACTTATGGAATATTCTTGATTAAGTCTGAAACTTATGCACGAAGAAGAAAAGTAGATATAAAAATGTGTAAACAAAATAAAAAAGGATAAAGTGGTAGTAGAATAGATAGAGAAAATCCAAGATATATGAACGAGGTGTATTTAGAAAAGCCAAGATACACAGTGCTGTTTTGTTTTGTTTTGTTTGAAATTTAGGGGGCGTACTCACAAAAGAATTCAAAAAGGTATGCTTTGACAATAGTAAATGTTTTTGTGAAGAATTGCCCGTGCATGATGTAAATATTCTCGTAGAAATTAGACATGGCCTGATCCCTCATTAATAAAACGATGAATTTTGGAACGAAAGAAATCGACACCTAAAGATTTTTCTAAAACTGTATGGTAAGATTTCGTATAAGTGTTAGAATAATATTAATTTGAGAAGCGTTAGTATGAAAAATATTTGTTTCGCCCTCTATTTGATAAAAGAGGACATTTCAAAGATTAAAAATCACTCTTACAAATATTGATAAAAGTGGAGCCGCCTTTAGATCTTTTGTTTATGCGTACTCAAATTAAAGTCTGTTTTGTTGTTATTGCTTCTGCGCACCAAGATAAACTGCTTAAACTCTGGCAATTTGATATTCTTTGCTTGTTGGTGCCGTTAGTTCAATGATCGCAAATTGAACGATAATTTCTCCTCTGGTTTATCCCATCTCTGTAATTTTCTCTTGAACAATTTCTCCAGTGGTATTTAACAGCTGTGCATAACGATCGTTTTGAGAGAGAAATTCACCGATTTTCCTAATGTAGGCCTCAAGTTTATTATCCTCTTCATCATCTTGAAAAAAACTTTTAATCAATTCAAGATGAAGATTTGTAGCTAAGCCTGGAGTTAGTGTATAAATTCCTTTCAATTTCTCTTGTCCATTTTCCTGAGCTATCAAACCATCAATTCTATGGAATAAACGGCCTTTGATGGTCATTGAACAAGCTCCACCTCACGAATCACCAGGACTGGTTGTTCGAGAATATTTGGATGTCATTGCTTCCAATATCATATCCTTCATGTACTGTAGAGGTTTTTTGAATATCTCACCGAGTAAAACTTTCCCCTGTCACAACAAAGTGATGGTAATTCTGCATCGATAAGGAGAGCATGACAATAATCACAACACTATTCAAATCCACCTGGATTATAAACCGCGTTCTGTGGTCTCCGCCGTTGTTGTTGCTCATAAACTGGATCATCATTCTCTTTAAAACCGATGATGCCATTCTCAATGATGTGTTCAAAGTTGGGATCATAGTCAAAAGTACCATTACATCTAATTTCTTCTAGCGCTCTTTCTGCTACCTATACAGCATGTCTTCATATACCTCTTCGTCTATCAGCCATAGTACCATTATCAAGCTCAGGTTCAGATTCAGATAATGGCGTTTGTTGTGGTAAGTCTGTGATCTCTACATGGGTGTTCTGTGATAAAACTTGGAGGTTTCTTGGCTCTGTGTCTTGTTCTCATAGCAGGTGAGTTAGTCTGTTTCAATAAGTAATGGGTCTTCTTACTGTGCCGTACCTCAATTCGCTTGAACTTGGTGCTGTGGTTCAGGATTAGCCGCTGATGTTTCTTCCTCAAGTTGAGGATGTCTTTGGAAGGTTCCAATGAGAGTTCTTTGGGGTCCCTTTGGTTGTTACCCAGCCATTGTTCTTCGCTTACTCAATCTTTTGTTTCTGGCCATTATCTTGTGATACTTCTACTTTTGTGTATAAAACTTTTTTGGTTTTGTGTCATATTTGTGTTGATAAGAATTCAAAATGTAAACAATGCCTATAAAATCGGAAACTTCCTTACATTTTTGCGATTGCTAGGGCAACGACGAGCTAGACACAAAAAAAAAACATCATCCTAGGTTATTTCAGAAGAACCACCAATCAAATTAAAAGTCGGCATATAGGATGATAGAAATCAGTTCTAGTGTGTGGTAGTCTTAAAGTTTCTTAATTTTAGGTTGTTGTGATATAAGCAAATCCACGCGTCTTTCTTGATTATGCCGTACAAACTCTGAATTGTTATATCTGATGTTGTATTGAAGATTACATGCTCATACTTTGTATATCTCTTAGCCAGAGAAGTAGCTACCACTTGCTATACTTTGGGGAAATTTGAAGGAGGTTTGCTATTTTCATTAGTAACATTCTAACTAAGGTAAGAGAAAATCAGTTGACTCTTAACAAAAATTGTTAGTATGGTTCTTACAGAAATTCTTGATAGCACAGGGAGTTTGCATGCCCTCCCCCCCTCAATTCAAGTATTTA